ATAAAACTGCATTTTTACTTTTCCGAAATATTTAAATTTTTAAAATCGTATATAAGCGATTGTGGGCGTTAAAGGGGGCGTGGCACCTTTTTGAAACAAACTTGCGCTGCGTAGGAACTCCTAGAATCTGCATGCCAAATGCCAATCGTCTAGCTTTTATAGTTTCCGAGATCTCAGCGTTCATACGGACAGACAGACAGACAGACGGACAGACGGACATGGCTATATCGACTCGGCTAGTGACCCTGATCAAGAATATATATACTTTATAGGGTCGGAAACGCTTCCTTCTAGCTGTTACATACTTTTGCACGAATACAATATACCCTTTTACTCTACGAGTAACGGGTATAAAAATATTTAAATAGGTTTTATTTATTAAACTAAGGAAGTCAGTTATTGCAACATAATAAAATAACAACTTTCTTCAGTTCTGTTTTTAATGTGCTTTTAAGAAAAAGTCTTCTTCAAATGATGGATTATAATGATTAATTAGATTTGCCATTACCTACATTTCGGCAGCTTAAAATGAGCAATAATTGCATCTTGTTGGGAACCAAAAGAAAGGAAAATACAACATTTCGTAGACAAAAGATTTACCTGAGATCATGAGTCATGATATTAAAGGGCATTACAGGGTCGTTCCTTAAGGGCAGTTATATTTATAATTTCCACGGCCCCGTAAAGGAGATGCTAGGCCACAAAGCATTGTATATGTGTATTCTGGTCTATTGTGCTGCGCTTGCGTTTGTTCTTGTTGCTGTCGAGTCATTATATTCATTTAGAAATTCAATTAGCGCCATAATTGCAGCAAGTGTTTAATGCTGATAATACGTTTACTCCGATAACGTTGGTGTTTGTGATAATGATCACAATGACTTGTGGTATATGCCGCAAACATCTAATTATGGGACAATTTTCTTGGCAGAAACATGATTTGCATTTTAAATGCCCAACTTTGCCATGGGCTTTTTTAAATTGTATTTAAAATTGGTTAAACAAGCTTGTAAATACATCGTTTTTATGTATATGAAGTTTAGACCCACTCACCCAGATATAAGTATTTTGTAAAATTATACGCTCGCTAGCAAAAATAACAGGAAAAACTTTTTGGGCATAACTTTACCCTGGACACAAAAAAATGTTTAAAAATCATTTATGCAAATTCTGGCATGGACCAGGAAAACGCTTAGTAGACTTCAATGAAATTTCGTAAACAGCTTTGGGTAATTATGGAATTTCACATTATAAATTTACACGACGAAGATCGGTTGACAACATTTTCGAAAGCAAAAAAGCAACAAAAAACAAGAAAGAAGCAAACGGGCGGAGAAGGATAACCCAGAAGTCGAAATATATTCTCCAAATTATTATAGATGCATTCTAATACTCATAAAAATCCCAACTTCCCAACTTTAAAAACACCAAAGTTATGGCATTCCAATCGTCAGTTATATGGCAGCTACAAGATATAGTCGGCCGATCCTATGAAATTTGGTAGGTCGGATTGATTGGCGAAAAATTAAACCCAAGATAATCCCAACTTCTAACTACAAACACCAAAGTTATGGCATTTCCGATCAATCAGTTATATGGCGGCTATAGGATATAGTCGCCCGATCCTATGAAATTGATAGTTCAGACTGATTGGCCAAAAATAAAACCCATAGAAAATTACAACTTCCTAACTTCAAAAACACCAAAGTTAGGCATTTCCGATCGTTCAGTTATATGACAGCTAACAATATAGTGGCCCGATCCGGCTCGTTCCGACTTATATACTACCGCAATAGAAAGACAACTTTGGGAAAGTTTCAAGCAGATAGCTTAAAACGAGGGACTAGTTTGCGAGAAACGGACGGACGGACAGACGGACGGACAGACGGACGGACAGACGGACGGACAGACGGACAGACGGACATGGCTAGATCGACTCTCCTGGTGATGCTGATCAAGAATATATATACTTTATAGGGTCGGAAATGTCTCCTTCACTGCGTTGCAAACTTTTGACTGAAATTATAATACCCTCTGCAAGGGTATAATGAACTGGAAAATTAAGGGGGGGTATGGTTAATTCGGCCAAAAAAAAGCCTATTTTCAAGATTTTTTTACGCGATACGGTTAATGTCAGATCAATTATTTTATAACCATATTAAAGTACAACATTTAAACTACATTTTCACAAATTTTCATAAAAAAACGAGGACGGAAGCTAACTTCGGCAAGCCGAAGTTTTAATACCCTTGCAGACTTTGCCGAAATTGCTAAAACTGAAAAAGTAGCGAAAGGAATAAGGTATACATAAATAAACTAGATTTGCATCGTTTAATGTCAATTGCTTTTATACTGCAAAAATGTCATAAAAAAAATAGAAAACGAGGACGGAAGCTAACTTCGGCAAGCCGAAGTTTTAATACCCTTGCAGACTTTGACGAAATTGCTAAAAGTGAAAAAGTAGCGAAAGGAATAAGGTATACATAAGTAAACTAGATTTGCATCGTTTCAAGTCAATTGCTTTTATACTGCAAAAATGTCATATACAAATAGAAAAAAAGGGATACTTTCGCAGCCTTTAAAAATTTTTCCTATCTCCTTTAAGATATAGACTTCCGAGCGGCAAGCGCTTTTACCCTAATCAAGATATGCGTAAATAAATAAGAATTGAAAAATTTTATGTTAGTAGCTTACACACTGCGCGAAATATTCTGATAATCATCAAATTTGGACCGATTTCACCCTATTGTTCCTATGGGAGCTATAGGATATAGACGTCCGATCGGCACGCTATTGATCCTGATCAAGAATATATATACTTTATAGGGTCGGAAACGTCTCCTTCACTGCGTTACAAACTTCTGACCAAAATTATAATACCCTCTGCAAGGGTATAAAAAGGGATACTTTTGCAGCCTTTTACTATTTTTCCTACGGAAGCTATAAGAAATAGACGTCCGATCGGCAGCGCTTTTACCCTAATCAAGCGTAAATAAATAAGACTTGGAAAAATTTATGTCAGTAGCTTACACACTACGCGAAAAATTCAGAAAATCATCAAATTTGGACCGATTTCACCCTGTTGTTCCTATGGGAGCTGTAGGATATAGACGTCCGATCGTCACGTGCTTTTACCCTAATCAAGGTATGCACAAAAAAATACGATTTGGAAAGATTCATGTCAATTGCTTATATACTGTGCGAAATATCCTAAAAATCATTACATTTTAACCGATTTCACCCTATTGTTCCTTTGGGAGCTATAGGATATAGACGTCCGATCGCCAAGCGCTTTTACCCTGATCAAGGTATGCATAAAAAAATAAGATTTGGAAAGATTTATGTTAATAGCTTTTACACTGCGCGAAATATCTTCCATTCTTGAAAGTTATATCCGATTGTTCCTATGGGAGCTATAGGATATAGACGTCCGATCAGCACGCGCTTTTACCTTGATGAAGGAATGCATAAAAAAATACGATTTGAAAAAATTTATAGCAATAGCATTTACACAGCGCGAAATATTCTGAAAAACATAAAATTTGGACCGATTTTACCCTATTGTTCCTATGGGAGCTATAGGATATAGACGTCCGATCGCCACGCGCTTTTACCCTGATCAAGGTATGCATAAAAAAATACGATTTGGAAAGATTCATGTCAATAGCTCTTACACTGCGCGAAATTACATCAATTCTTGCTAGATATATCCGATTGTTCCTATGGGAGCTATAGGATATAGACGTCCGATCGGGGCGATTTTCAAACTTGATCTGCGTACACATGTTTTAGGACGAGTGTGAAAGTTTCAGATCGCTGGCTTTCAAACTGAGCTCGCAAACGGTATTGAAACAGACGGACAGACGGACATGGCTATATCGACTCCCCTATTGATCCTGATTGATATATACTTTATGGGGTCGGAAACGTCTCCTTCACTGCGTTACAAACTTCTGACCAAAATTATAATACCCTCTGCAAGGCTATAAAAAATACATGAGCCGTTCACAGCAAAGCTCAGTAGGCGCCTCCAAGAAAAAAGGTTTTGCGGTGAACTGGATGAACTTTGGACATCGAAAAATCGCATACAAAGCGAGCTCGGATGAATCTAAAATTTTAACGCAATATTCTTCAAATGTTGTGCATTCTGAAACAAAATTAAAAAAAAGAGGCCAAAAAAAATTTAATTTATACCCCCTTAAGTCGAATACCTAAATGTGATATTGGCGTAGCATGTGTCTGCAGACGAATTTATGGCGAAGTGTTTTACTCTCATTTAAATTGCTTTGCTTCCGATTTTAATCAATTTAGCACCCATTAAGAGTTTTAATGGCTGTCGAGTTGCTGTCCGCATGAACGTCGAGATCTCGGAAACTATAGGAGCTTGCGATTTGGGTATCTTATAGCCGAGGCACTCGATTCCCATTGCAGCAATTGGAAAAAGTTGTCCGAAATTTATAAAATTAAATAAATCATTTTTACAATCAAATAAAATGCGAGTATGCTTACTTAAGCCAAAATGCTAAATCAAAATTCAATTAAACAGCGCTCCTATGACAGCTTTATGAAAAAATCCGACTCTTAAAACACAATGTCTAGTTTGCGTAGAAACGCTTGTACAGACAGACGGGCATGGCTAAATTTTCTTGACTATTGATGCTGATCAACAATAATATATGCACATACTTTATTTGGTCGAAAATGACAACTTCAGTGCGATGCAAACTTTTGAATAAAAATACCAGTCTCTGAATTGTTTAAAACTATGTTATAATAATATCGTTTTCGCTGTTAATATATTTTGTATTTATTAATATAAGTCTTTAAAACTATATGCCTTCCTTTAAAAATTCTTTAAACCATGCACAAATATTAAATCTTATATTCGGTCTTACATTAAAATAAGAAAACTTTTAAACTCGTTTCTACATTAACTTGAGGTTGTTTTGTTTTAATCCTGTTTATCACGTTAATAAAATAACACAAAAAGAAAATTAAAAGTGTTTACATGAAGCATTTCCTGATTTTTGGGCTAATCGACCAACTTATTTATTTAAAGGGTTTCAATATCTCCAATAGAGGCGAATTAAATCCATAACAATCTTATATTAATTATTCGGTGGTTTCTGTCTCAAACTTGCCTTATCAGCATTTTGCAGGATTTAAGATACTTTTCTGATTTGGCCATCTTCCAATTTCCCCACCAAAATTTTCCAGGTTTTGCTACCGTTCTTGGTTCTAAAGAATCGTAGGAGCCATTTAAGTTGCTAAAAGCAAAGAAAAGGTAGTTGTGCAATTTTAAAAATATATTTTCTTACTTACCATTTCATCTGGTCTGAATACCACCACTGAAAACTTGTATGGTTTTGACACCTCCAATAGCCCACTTTTTTGTTCTTAAGACTTTTCAAAGCATCGCCAGCGTTTCCCGAATAGGCACCAAGGGATCTTATGATGTAGCCCTCAGCTTTGCTTCCGACTACAAAGTGATCATATCGGGCATATGCAGTAACATCATCAAAGTCTACAACTTGTATATATAGCTCAAACCTTCCCATGTTTGTTAACTGGTGTAGTACTTCAAAACCAACCCAGAACTCTTTTTTTAAGTCACCAAAGCCATTGTCATATTCTGACTGATCAAAGCGATTAAAGAGTAGATTTCCATCGATACGGCGCTGAATTACCATCCAATTAGAACCAGCAGATGGAATATTTTCGAAAACTCCCATAAAGGGGTCAATACCAATTGGATGGGCAACTTTTATTTTTGAGTTTTTGGTAAAGTTTAGCGGTAAAGTTAAGTTTAAATGAGCGCTTGAAGTAATTTTAGAAAGTTGATTATCTTTTTTTGTTAGCTCAGCAGAGTTGGTTTTAACTTTAATTTCTAGTTCTGTTATCTTAGCTTTCAGACATTCATCATTCTTCTCGAATTTTGCTTCCAATTCCTTCATCTTTGTATCGTTTTCCTTAATTTTGAATTCAAGCTCAGCGATTTTGACCTTAAGGTTCGCTTTTTCAGTATCATTTTCAATAATTTTTGATTTCAACTCGGAAATCAGTACCTTATCTTCTTTATTAGTTGTCTCAAGTAATTCTGTTTCTTTTTGCATGTCCTGCAGTTGATTAACATTGGTTTTTCCAATAATATTATCTTTCAGATCAATGTTTGTTCCAACTCCTTGGGCGCAGTGTAAATTAAAAGTGTTTTTGAAAGCAAGCGCATTCTGCAAATCGTTAATTTGACTATTCATTTGTTTAATGCTAAAGTCCTTCGTTTCGGTGATTAAGTCAACCGAAAAGTGTAGAGATTTTATTACTTCATCCTTTTCTTTAATCAATGCTTCATAAAGTCTAATCTTTTCATTGTCAGAATTGGCCAGCCTTTCCTCTAAATCTACGACTTTGCTCTGCTCGTAAGATATTATTGAGTTTTGCATCTTTCTATTTCGATCGTTTGGTGCACATGCCACTTCTGAGTCCGAGTCGCTGTTTAACTGAAATATTTGTAAAACATATTCACTATAAGGAGATTCAAAGAATTGTAATTGTACATATGTTCATATGTACGTGTATATGTATGTATGTATGTCTCACAGAGTTATTGTCAGTAGATGATCCCAGAGAAGAGGAGGAGGAGCCCCCCTCCGTTAGATTGTTAACGTTTGCTGTTTTCATGGTGTTGTATTTATTTCTCAGAAATTCGCGAACAATTCAAAAATATGTTTAGACAACAATATTATCCGGCTATAACTGATATTTTTTAAGACCTTTAATCCCTTGTTTGTTGTCCAAAAGAAACTGCGTAATTCATCCGAAAAGCTGTAATAAGATCTGAAACAATTTGAAGATGACGCCAAGCGTGGGATAAATCTAGTGCTGCAAAATCATGGTGATCAAAACTACCTATTTAACACATCACGTTCGAATGAAATACTAAAAAAATATATTATACCATATTCAGTGTTACCACACCATATATGTATCTGATCATATAAATATTTTATTTAGAATCCGTTAAACTTTAAAGTTTCAAGAAAACAGCAGAACATTTTTTAGTCATTTTTTAACACACGGTTTTCTTTTTAAATGCAATGAAATAAATAAATATGTAATCCAATTATGTAGCTTTTTGTATAAAGTATTACACCGTAAAGATTCCGTTTATACAAATATTCAGTTAAAATAATTTTTGATGACTCTTTACAGCGCTAGCAAAAAAAAATTAAATGGTGCTACTGCTCCGAAAACAAAATGATACGTAGACAAATTTGAATTGTGTTGTGTCAAAAGGCGAAATGAAAATTGACATATGTATATATTGAAAAATTTTAACGGAAATTCAAATGTTTGAAATGCATTAAGGGGCGCATTTCCGACCCCATAAACTTTGTATATATAAACTTAATGGCATTAAGTATATACAATCTTGATCTGGCCAAGTCCATCTGTCCGTCCGTTTCTACTCAATCTAGTGTTTCAGTTTTAAAGCTATTTGAATAAAACTTTGCAAAAAGTCTTCTTTCTTTTGCTGGTAGCATATAAGTTGAAAAAAGGAGAATTAAATTGTAACTACGTTGTTTATTAACATAAATTCATTCAATTAGAGATATAGTCTTTTAGAGAATTTCAGAAATACGGACTTAGTTTTATCAAAATCGGACGACATGCATTATGAAGCTGGCATAGAAACAATCGGGAAAAGGGACATACATTTATAACTTTGTTGTTTCATATGTATATATATATATATCCTCAGAAATACAGTATTTTTGAGCATCTTTAGAAATATATATTTATTACCGGGAAAAGGGAAACAAATGATAACTTCACTGTTTAATGCTTAAAAATTTCGCCATTTTTAACGACATCGCTTCATGGTTTGTAGAATCCTTCCTTCTTTTAGTAGATTGCAGAACATACATACATATGGACATCTTCTGCGTCCGATTGTGTCCCAAACTGTAAAAGGCAATTTTACTATAAGAAATTCGGAAGAAGTCGTTGATGTATTTCCTACGGATTTATTGTCAGTATACGATTCCAAAGAGATCTCCCGGATGTTCCTTCAAGATAATTCACTCTTAGCTTTCATGTTCATTTATTTCTCCGCAAGTACGCTGCAATTTCATAAAATGAAAATATGTATGCACTTACTAACAGAACTTGTTTCTGTTTTTGTTTATAAAAAGAAACTGCGAAACTCATCAAAAAAGCTGTATATCTGGAAGAATTTAAAAATTATGCCAGCGTGCTAAAAAATTATCGAGTTCAAAAGTGGCTTATTTGTTTTTTATATGAATAAAATACCAAATAGCCACTAAAATTGGCATAAAAGAACAGCGAGCTAGGTGCCATCACACCAGATATTTAATTAGTTGCCATTTTTATTTAAGAGCCCCAGAAGCTTATCATTGAATTAGAATCAGGAATCAAACTCGTTTTTGAGGTTTTATATCCATTTACAAATCTTAAAATGTCACTTTGAAATTGTATTTGAAAAATGCAACAATCTCGCAAAAAATGTAATATTTGCAATTAATCAATTGTTTGTTGTTTATACTGCAAGGAATAAAATGATATTAGAGAAAATTATTACCCCAATATATTCAAAATATGATTTTTTTCTTGCTGTTACACATTATTTTTGTTTATTTGCGTTTATATTTTTTATATACAAGTTTACAATGAGATTTCCTTGTCCATTCCCTTTGATCGATTCGTTAGATCATTTTTCTATATATTTATTACACTTGTCTCTGTATATTGGTTAGTGTATAATAAAACTTTAATATTCGTTATTTTATTGCACTCGGTTTATATACAGCTCAGGTAAAATTTCGAATTGTCTTTTTAATGCCTCAAAAAATAAAGGGAATTTTAACAATTATATATAAACAACGAAATAAGAAAATGTCTAAGGAAATTAAAATGAATCATTAAAAACTTCAGTACTCACATACTGGCTTAATATTTGGGTATGTATATAATTCAACATTCTCTGTGTAAATAATTTCTATATATTTCTATGTACACATATATTTTCGCTTCATAGCAAAACTTTTTACAAATGACATCTGCTTAAATAATTATTATATAGTCGGTACTCAACCTTTATCGACTGTTGATCTAATTTGGGGAAGCCTTTTGTTGTAAAATTGCCGCAACGATCAATAAACAAAGGATTCGGTTTCTTTAGACGATATGTGTAAGGAAAATTATTTCAAGTATTGTAAATATTTCTATGTTCGCATATATAATGTATATCAGCATGTGTATATCTATATAGGTAACATATTGTATATATGCATAAGTACACGGATACATCTACCTGGTAAATATAGTATTTTATAATTTTCCTTCTTTATATTGCATCTTTATCCAGCGTCTACTACTTTGCTTAGTTAACTAACTCGAAGGTTAACCCTTAGGTTCTTTGGTTGTCATATAATTGGTTTTCTTGGGTTTGGTTTGTTCTAGCGGCCTGCGAAGGGCATCAACGTGAATCCTTGGGAGACGACATTAAAGCTTAAGATTTGGGTACACATAAGAGTCCTATTGCGTTTCGATTATGCCGTACATATAAAAAGCCAATAACTGAACAATAGCTGCTAAGAGTTCAACTACAAAACTATTTACAACGTGTCGAAATGTCGCGTTCGCCTTAAATTCAATTATTTGTCAACTGATATTTGGTGAGATCCACCAGGTGCTCATACAGCATATCCTCCTGCGGCGTCAGTCCGATCATAATCCATCCCGATATGGCGGCAATACTCCTCGTGACCGACAGACTGCTCCAAACGCTCTGCACACTGTTGCTCAGCTGTTCGCAATAGGATATAGAAATTGGGTATAAAGCACCGATTTGTAAATATAATCGAACAGAGCCCTCTTACCATCTCCTGCTGGGTCAGCGTTATGTTGGCGTTGTTGTTGAACAGGTACAGCTTCTCGTCTATGGAGTCGGAGCAAATTGTTAGGATTATTGTCGCCACATATATCATGGTGATGATGAGCCAACGAAACGAGATCAGTTCGCTGGCATTCGAGAAGCTCCAGCGGCAAATGTCCATGCTAAAATAAGAAATGAGAAAAAATATGCTTAGCCTTGGTATTGAAAAAATATTTTTTTATACCCTTGCAGAGGGTATTATAATTTTGGTCAAAAGTGTGCAACGCAGTGAAGGAGACATCTCCGACCCTATAAAGTATATATATTCTTGATCAGGATCACCTCCTGAGTTGATATAGCCATGTCCGTCTGTCCGTCTGTCCGTCTGTCTGTCCGTCTGTCCGTCTGTCTGTTTCTACGCAAACTAGTCTCTCAGTTTTAAAGCTATCGAGTTCAAACTTTGCACACACCCTTCTTTCCTTTGCACGCAGTATATATGTCGGAACGGCCGGGATCGGCCGACTATATCCTATAGCTGCCATATAACTGATTGATCGGAAATGCCATAACTTTGGTGTTTGTAAAGTTAGGAAGTTGGAATTTTCTATGGGTTTTATATTTGGCCAATCAATCCGACCTACCAAATTTCATAAGGATCGGCCGACTATATCTTATAGCTGCCATATAACTGATTGATCGGAAATGCCATAACTTTGGTGTTTGTAAAGTTAGGAAGTTGGAATTTTCTATGGGTTTTATATTTGGCCAATCAATCCGACCTACCAAATTTCATAAGGATCGGCCGACTATATCTTATAGCTGCCATATAACTGATTGATCGGAAATGCCATAACTTTGGTGTTTGTAAAGTTAGGAAGTTGGGATTTTCTATGGGTTTTATTTTTGGCCAATCAATCCGACCTACCAAAGTTCATAAGGATCGGCCGACTATATCTTATAGCTGCCATATAACTGAACGATTGGAAATGCTATAAATTTGGTGTTTTTAAAGTTAGGAAGTTGTGATTTTTTATGAGTATTAAGAACGCATCATATGAATAATTTTGGAGAATATAATTTACAGAGTATTCTGCAAGGGTATATCAACTTCGGCTCCGCCCGAAGTTAGCTTTCCTTTCTTGTTTAATATCACAACGTTTATAAAAAATGTTAAAGATATCCTTAACATATTGGATAGAAAAGGCTAACCAGAATTTTAGTACAATTGTACAATTGGTAATAGTTTTAATCCTATTCCTATTATACATTTTATAAAGTTTTATTTTATAAGATTAGTTTTGAAAAAGTTTTCGGAAAAAAGAAGCCACCTCACAATTGTTGCAGAACAAAGCCACGTCGTTTCACGCAATACTACATCTAATAAACTTGAGCTGACCTTAGAACTAATTGGCGGTTGCATTACCATACTAAGAGGCGTTCGCATTTTGATCACTGATAAGAATGTGGAAGTGGGGAAATAGAGAAGCACCAGAAATGGAAAAGAAAGTGTGACGTCACCGCATAAACCGCAAATGAAAAAGATACTAATAATTAATTACCCATAAACAACTATTTTCTGAAATAGGTTTTAACAAAAATGTCATTCTTGCAATAAAATACCATTGTCAAAATTATTGCCAAAGGACTTTTAAGCAGGAGCAAGCAGACTTAGAAAAAGTTCAAATGCTCGAGGGATTTAAAGTAACCTTCTCGCCTGCGAATTTCGAAATGTCCTGCCATTTAATCGCATGCATATTAATTGAAAGCAAATCCTCGTCCGCACTCCATTTGGAGAGAAGGAAAGGTCAGCACACAGACTCCGTTGCCGGGAGATACTTAACATTTAGCACAGAGTCAGCCGCACATAAATCAACTGGCGCTGGGATAACGAAGCGAAATGTCATACACAGTTTCACACTTTTGCCAGTCGAAAACGGCACAATTCGAATGGCAGATAGTTCCAGCCACCCAACCACCCAACCGCCGAACCACCCAAACCACCCAAACCACCCACACACTTGTGCCATCGACTGGCGCAGCCTTTAAAGGTCAAGAGTGCAGCCAGAGTGGCTTGCTTGTGTGTGGGCAGCGACTTTGGCATGCAAAAAGAGCAAAGTTTAAGGGCATTAAAATATTCTGTGGCTGATGAAAGCGACCACGCAATGCGAGCCATACAAATTATTTCTTTGCGACCGCGAAGCCGAACAAGTTCCAAATTACCGAATTGAGGTCGCATTTTCATTAAGCCCAAGAAACGCACACATTGTAGCACACTTTCCAGCACCTCCAGAGTCTAGACCCTAGACCAAAAATAGAAAACGGCGAGTATTCGGGAGGTTTACCCACATCCGGCAGGCTTTTGGCTCAATGAAACTCGCAGCTGAGGTCAATGAGTTCTTGAGCCGTACTCCTTCGCCGGGGAAAGGTTTCTCCCACGGCTTCCTATTTTTAGCCAAGTGTTGACGAAGGCTGCGCGTAGGCCAAATCGACTTTCAATCAAGCCAAAGGACATCGAAAAACCCTAAGGACGCAATTAAAAACGGCGAAGCAGCTCGATTGGGGGCAGATACATTTGCACCAAAAAGACTAAGGAAAACTCGAAACTAATCTTTAGAAGTCATCCCTTGAAAATTCGCATTTAAAATCCAACAGTATTTCTCAAATGACATAATTCTCATTACAAATTTTACTTTTGATCTACACTGAAAGAAAACATAATTCTTAAAATTATAATTAAGTTGTTGAAATTTATTCATAATTTGTTATCTATTCACAGAAAAACCACTTGATTGGAACATTCGCGTGACTACAGACTAGGAAAAACTAGAGCCACCAATTAGGATAAACTAAACTTTGTGAACCATCCCCTTAAAATTCGCATTTCATATTAAACAGTGGTTCTCAAATGACAAAGTTCCTTTCAAAAATGTAGCTTGTGATCTAACGCAGTCTAAACAAGAAAGGAAAGCTAACTTCGGGCGGAGCCGAAGTTGAAATACCCTTGCAGAATATTCTGCAAATTATATTCTCCAAAATTATTCATATGATGCATTTTTAATACTCATAAAAAATCCCACCTTCCTAACTTTAAAAACACCAAAGTTATTTCATTTCCGATCAATCAGTTATATGGCAGCTATAGGATATAGTCGGCCGATCCTTATGAAATTTAATATGTCGAATTGATTGGGCAAAAATAAAACCCATAGAAAATCCCAACTTCCTAACTTTACAAACACCAAAGTTATGGCATTTCCGATCAATCAGTTATATGGCAGCTATAAGATATAGTCGGCCGATTCTTATGAAATTTGGTAGGTCGGATTGATTGGCCAAATATAAAACCCATAAAAAATTCCAACTTTCTAACTTTACAAACACCAAAGTTATGGCATTTCCGATCAATCAGTTATATGGCAGCTATAAGATATAGTCGGCCGATCCTTATGAAATTTGGTACGTCGGATTGATTGGCCAAATATTGAACCCACAGAAAGTCCCAACTTCCTAACTTAACAAACAGCAGAGTTATGGCATTTCCGATCAATCAGTTATATGGCAGCTATAGGATATAGTCGGCCGATCCCGGCCGTTCCGACTTATATACTGCGTGCAAAGGAAAGAAGGGTGTGTGCAAAGTTTCAACTCGATAGCTTTAAAACTGAGAGACTAGTTTGCGTAGAAACAGACAGACGGACAGACGGACAGACGGACAGACGGACATGGCTATATCAACTCAGGAGGTGATCCTGATCAAGAATATATATACTTTATAGGGTCGGAGATGTCTCCTTCACTGCGTTGCACACTTTTGATCAAAATTATAATACCCTCTGCAAGGGTATAAAAATCATCTTTAAATTGGAACCCTTTCGTGACTTTAAAGATGAACTGAAAAACAAAGTTTTCAAAACTATTAAGGCGTTAACCTCTTGACTCACCGATCGAATACAGAAACCAGACAGATTATGGCCAAGCAGTAGAAGGTATTCAAGTAGATCTCCGCGAATCCCGCGTAGTCGGTTATCAGGGCCAGGGCGTCGCTGCCTCCTGTCCCGGATCCTGATGAGCCTGAGGATGGGGGTCCACCCGACTCCGTGCCCCGATCGCCAGGATCGAGGTCCATTGCCGATGGCGTCGATGCGGATGGGGTTGGTGCTGTCGAGGACATCGTCTCGCCCGCGAGACTCATGCCATTGATGACCTTGGCCCAGTCCATGGGGTGGCTGCTCAGCACGAAGAGAAGGTGGGCCAGAGCTAGACCGGCTAGCAGGCCGTGGCATATGTTCGAGATGAGCAGCCAGATTCGTTGAACTACACAGGCTAGTTGTATGTTGCTGGTGATGCCATTGCTGCAAGGGGACACATCTTTGGATTAGAATATGGATCACAAATTGGGGATGTAAGTATAACTTTGGTCTATTGCTCAGTTTGTTAAATTTCTAATCTAATTCCTGTCCTAAAAACGTCTTTTAAATTTCAAAAATCTTATTTAATATCATTTTGAAATCAAAGATAAGTACTATATATTTTGAGTTATCTGAATTTCTATGCTTTTTAATTATACTGCAAAATTCGCCCAATTTATAAGCAAGGAACAAAATAAACTATGCTTATAGGCAATCAAACTTTAATAATTAGATTTTTCGATATTTAACATGTAATCCGTTTAAGGGTACATGAAATTCTTAGGCTGGGCAGGGCAATTAAATATTTTCCTCAAACTCACCGATTGAAGTCGGCATCGAGCAGGCAGCGGGTATCCCCGTAACTGCCACGCCCACTTCCCGAGCCGCCGGCAGTGGCGCCCAGGCCGACGCCGCCGTGGGCGTGGCTGCCGCTGGAGCGGAAGAGGCGACCGGCGCCACCCAGCTCCGCGGCAGAGATGCCGTCGAGGCGACCTCCTCCTCCGCCGGACGCCGAAAGTCCGCCGGATCCGCGGACAGCGGCGCCCAGAAAGGAGCGCTTGTAGTAGCTGTGCTCCACGGGTCGATATCCGGATGACGTCTGCAGGAACATCTTGTCGATGTGCGCGGGCGCATCGTCCGTGGGCGAGACGACCGGCGTGAATGGGTTGTAGATCTCCTCGCCGTCCGCCGGGGCGATGTCGTCGGCCAGCTCCTTCAGAATCGAGGATATCCCGCCGGCCGAGTACAGTTTGCCTGAGGGAGAGAAGAGGGACACAGAGGGATTAGGTGGCTGCACCGAAAGAAATCAAAAACTGTAACTGGCTTATAGAAAATATTCTTGGGGTTTTATAAAAAAAGAGTTGATTGATTAAACATTATTATGTTTTCCTACTGGTATTAAATATGTTTCTACTTTGTGTACGAATAATAACATTTTTTTTTTTTTATAAAGTTATCCTAAATTTTTTGACATTTTTCACATTTTCCATTCTTAACTTCTTAATAGGAAAGCAAATAAATGGAAATTTGAAAGTTTTTGTTAATAAAACTAACGAATAGACAACAACCATATAAATAGGCATAAAATAACTATATTATCTGTGAATGTATCTTTTCCAATAATACATCTTTGTTATATTCTAATTCTAGCTATATACATTTTATGTTAAGAAAATTGTTTTTGACAGTCAATGAATGACATAGCAGAATCAATATGAGGTACCAAATTAAATAGACTGGACGCCCACAAGCTCAGTTAATATCCCATGGCTTTCTTCGAGTGCTACAAATGACCGAGTGCGCAGAATCCAGAGCACAGTGAGTGGGTGACCAGGTGGAAGGGAGGTAGGGTGGAGCTTTTGCCCCAGCTGGTTTTACTCAATGGCAAATGGGACCTGGAAGTGGGGAACACGGGGGCTACACAGGAAAATATTACCGAATTTGGACTGACATTACATATTGATGAGGCTAATTGTCACTTTTAAATCTCCAATATAATTATTTAACTAATGGTTCTCAGACAATTAAATAGAAAAACTGCCAATATTTGGAATATGCACGTGCGTAAGTAATATTCACAAAAAAAACAATAGTCGCGTTTTATTATTTTGCCACCTGAAAACTTTAGAGTCGGTTAACATTTGTTGTCCAACTAATTCGTATCTGAATATTTGTTTCCATATGACATTTAAGTTGAATACTTGGAAAGAAAAACTATTTATTTAATAGTTGGTTATCTTTTGCGGATACTTGATAAGAAAATGGAATGTTTTAATTTAAATTAATGTAATAGCCGCCAAGAGTTAAATTAGATTTGTTATTAATCAGATTTTGTGTGACATTAAAACTACATTTTAAATATTTAAATTCAAGAATTGCTAAAACGTTTAACTGATGGTGACGAGACTACTCACTGATCAGCTGGCCCCGCTTGTCCCTCTGCGACTTGGTCTTCCGGTGGACGCGTCGCTCCTCGAGGCTCTGGTCGATCTCCAGTTCGCCGGAGAGCGAGGCGTCGTGCATGTCGGAGCACTGTTTGAGGTACCGCATCAGGGTTTCGTTGGCCTGGCGCACCTCCATCTCGCCGGCGGCGATGAGCTTCCGTTCGCGTCGCCTGCGGGACTCCGACTTGCTCCTCTTGCGCCGCGGACTCTTGTCGAAGCTGCTCCTCGAGCGCAGGGATCGCTGGGCGGGACTGGCCTGAGGATCGGACAGCGACTGCTGTTTGCGGGAGGCGCCCGTGCCTGTGCCATTGCCGTGGCCACTTCCATTTCCATTTCCGTTCCCGATTCCTGTTCCGACTCCCGTTCCGGCGGGGGCGGAGGGCGTGGGCGAGCTCTGCTTGAGCTCCCTGTCCATGTACCCGAGTATTCCGCGGTGGAAGGAGGCGTCCGGATCCGCGGGCGAGTGGGTGCGCCTGGAGCGATGGTGGTGCGTGGCCGGCAGCTGCTGCAGGGTCTCCCGCAGGCTCATCGCATCGCCGGAGGAGTTGCGGCTGCCGTCGCTCTGCTTGGGCGGCGGCGGGGATTCCCGGGGATTGCCAGCGCCCAGCGGCGACTCCTCCTCTCCCTCCCCCTCCCCCTGGCCCGGCGGGGCGTGGCCGTTGACCAGGACCACCGTCTGCTGCGACGTCTGGCTGGGCGAACCCACCAGCTCGATGCTGTCCGCCGAGCTCTGGGCACTGATGCGACCCGCACTGCTGGGCGTGCCCCCGCTGCCGCCCGGGTCCGCCGCCACGCCCTCGTTGAGGGCGGTGGCACAGTCCAGGGCCTCCGCCCGCTCGGGCGTGGTGGGTGGTGCCCCCGTGGCGGCCGCCTCGCGCTCCAGGCGCCGCTGACGCGCCTCCGTGCGGCGATGCCGCTGGTGCTGGCGGTGCACCTTCGCCTCCATCGCTGGTCCTCCGGCTGGCTGTGGTCCCTGGATACTGGGCTACCCGACTCCGATCCGATCCTAGGCCAGCTGCATAACAGGTGGACGACGACAACACCCCCTGGGAACTTTGGGCTGCTGCAGCTTTTGACCCAAATAGCACTGCACTACACCCACACACTCGCGACGGTGCACACGACCACTACGACGACGGCTCAACAGAATGCAGCTCAGCTGCGGGCGGGTGGCATTTCCTCAAGGCTTCACTGTGCTATTGGCTACTGAGTACATTACCAATGGCCAAAAAACATGTCTGCATATCAATCTATTCGTTACGCTTCGCTCGATTCTTTTACTAGGCGATATCCATGGCTTTTCTCTGATATTCCTTGATGTTTCACGAGGCGAACGGAACCGAAACCGATGCAACGCGTTCGAAAATCTGTTCTGCAATAACAACGATTTGGGCTTTGCGCGGGGCTTAAATAGACTTGGCTCTCCCCATCCTGGAGCTGCACTTTCTCTTCGGCGTCGACTGCTCTGCCGCCGTTAACAGTGGGGAATATTAAATAATGTTAATATTAAATACTTCTACCAAGGTTTGTGTTCGCGGTAAACATAATCAACGAAAAATCTTTAACCCACATTAAGGTATGTTTTCTCAAGGCAAGCTTTACGTGAAGGGAGGATAGTTTTAAAATAAAGATAACTCGATTTTCGTTTTCTTGACCACTCAAAAATAGGCAAGTCATACACAAAAAATATTATATTATATTATTATATTGCACAGCTAATTTACAATAATATTTACCTGAAAACTTATAAATTTTGTGCTCTGATATAAAATATCAATGTAAAACTTTTACCGGGGATAAGAAACATGCTCTTGTGAATCTGGCAGCAAAGAAATAATTTTCTGTTTTGAAATCTCACCATGGGTGCTTAAAATTACAGAATAAAAAATACAAAAAAATTTCTCTCCAATTTGAGCTTAGAATGCCAAATCGATTGGAATCTGTATAAGGATTTTCAGTTTAGAATGCCAATCGGTAAGGATATTTTTCACAAATGTTTAGAGGTATAACTTTTCATGCTTTGACCACTTTTCGCCAAAAAGTCATGCTTGCAACCAAATAGGAAATCAATCAAGAATGGAAGCAAACTTCGGCAAGTTTATATACCCTTACAGTTATTAAAAAACGTCTACATTTCGATTTTTATGCCTATTTTACTAAAAACAATCCAATAGCTTAAAAACAATGTCGATTTTGCACTGCATTTTGCCATCGTTTCTATGGCAGCTATAATATATTGTTGTCCAATTTTGACTAAACTCAATGAGTAAATCTGATATAGTAAATAATTACTATATCTCAAAGAAATATTTTGATTGATAGAAAAACAGCAACATTTTTTTTCATTTTTTTTTAAATTAAAATCGTGATTTCATATTATTTAAAGTCCCAAAGAATAAAAAAAAAAACAAGAAGTTAAACTTCAAATTTTTTTTTTTTTATTGTTCCTATGGGAGCTATATGATATAGTCGCCTGATCCGCCTCGTTCTGACATATACACTAACTGCAAAAGAAAAATAACTTTTGGGAAAGTTTTAAGCAGATAGCTTTAAAACAGAGGGACTAGTTTGCGTAAAAATGGACAGACAGACGGACATGGCTAGATCGACTTTCCTGGTGATGCTGATCAAGAATATATAAACTTTATAGGGTCGGAAATGTCTCCTTCACTGTGTTGCAAAATTTTAAATGAAATTATATTACCTTATGCAAGGGTATAAAAATCTGGAAGTTAGTTGGAAAGCGTTTAATATATTTTAACTTGGATAGTCTTTAGCACCTCAACTTCACGTATAAAACTGTTAAATGTATTTAGCACAGACGCAAACCACTGTTAAGATTTGTTCACTGTTAACTGGGGAAGCGACGCCAACGACACGTCGGCATCGAAGAGAGAATTCGAGAGTCGAACGGTATTTTAAAGGAGAGATTGGGAGACAGTCGTTGAAACGTAGTAACGGGACGAAATGAGAGCGCGAGAGCTTTAAGGACAATGACGTCAACAGTGCGTGTCCGTGCACCCACACATTACGAGTATGTCTGTGTGTGCATGTTTGGGCTGATGTTTGCTGGTATTATTGACAAATTCTATTTTTAGGCATCTATAAAAATGTGCGAGCAGAATATGGGATTTTATTTGCAACACCTGAACCCACACTTAAATAGCAGATGCTTTGCACTGAGAGAAAAAGTCGTTTGGCTTTAAAAGTTTGAAAAATATTTGTGATTCCTTAGATTTATAAAATTATTACTTTCTTATTAATTAAAATTTTTTTTTTTTTTTGGATTTGCATTTAAATTAGTTTTTTGCCTTCTTTTCTCCCCAACTGTAGTGACATGTTTTGCGAAAACCGAATTCGCCCACACGTACGACTTTTCTCCCCGCTCACTCCTACTTTCTCCCACTCTCTCTCGTCTGTGTAATCGATAAATGCGTGGTAGGATGTCAGCTCACTGCGCAGGTTTCGCCTCTGATGACGTCAATGGAAAAAGCTCCAGTCAAAAACCAAAACAACAACAGTGCCTCCCCTAGGAGCCACCCCCTTCCCCCGGAAAATTCACAAAAGCCGGCAAAAGCTCGACAGGCGTCAGGAAAATTTGATTATAGTAAAGCCAAGGAGAGAGGGCAGAGCAGAGAGAAAGAGACCGACGAAGAATCCTTCTGGAGTTGCTGTTAGCTAATGGCCCTTGAAAAGGCGAAGTCTTTGACGGGGGCGGATCCTGAAAATGTATCTGTAGGTATACAAAACATATTTAATAGAAATCCAAATAAAATTATTTTTTGTGTTGCATCTCTCTAAGACTCATATATATTGAATTAAAAAAAAATATTTAAGAAAATTATTCAATGAACTCATGAATTTTATTTAAATTTTAAAATACAAATTCCTTAGAAAATTAAAAGATCGATGATAATGATATTGCAATCTATATTATGTTTTGCTTCTACAAGTCTCATCCCAAAAGCCCCTTCTGATCCGCCACTGGATCAAGCGATTCGAGAACTCTCCCCAGCAGACAGACATCCCGAGAGAAAGAAAGAAAGTACGCGAGAGAGAGTGTGTTTGTGCGAAAAGCGAACGTCATGACCATGACGTAACACTGACGTCAGTGGGCTTATTGCCAAAATAAAATGCGGTTAAGGAGCTGCAAAAAAACCGGTCGATACCCATACACATTTATGTACATATACGCCAAAAACTAAGACCTTTCACAAGATTTATAGAGCTTATGCGTTGCCATTTGGAAAGTTTATTCACCCAACAATAACTTGCAGTTTAAAGTTCAAACATTTACACTTCTTTGTAAAACGCACGAAAAATAAAATACATCGTTTTTATGAAATGACTTAAAAAATTAATAAGACCCTGAATTTTAGATCAAAATAATTTTCTTAAAGTTTTAACAAACTTTGAGATTACTCTAGCTATCATTTACTTACATATTTCGATGGATATTTTAGTTTCAATTTAATTGTAGAAATTGTCAATAAATGTTGTCCGAGGTAAGTTTCATTAAAAAAAAATGTATTTATTTTTAATTCCTGTCGGTAAATTTCCTTGAAAACTTTTAAACTGCAAAAACATGGTTATCTGTCTAACTTATTTATTTGTAACAACCCAAAACCAATTCCTTTTGATTGTGAATACCAATAAATTAATTTATAAACACAGAGTGAGTCCCTTACAACTCTAAGCGTTGCCCGTGGAAACCTTCAGGTTGTTTTGTCAATGGAGACAGTCAAAATACTAGCAATAGCAAAGGAGTGAAAAACAAAGTAATCCCGACAATGCCACTGCTAGAGGCGCCTGCCGAGTATCTGGAGTCCTCGCCGGATCACTCCCTCCAGGCGGAGCTACCGCTCCTTTTGGCCCCTCCAGGTCCTGCGGCCTTGGCCCAGGTATTTATATTTGACGATATTGCAGTAGGATAATGTTATTGTAAAATAAATCATTATATTGTAATAAACCAGGTTCGGATGCCTCCGCCTGAGGTACGACTCAACCAGCCGAATCCCGCCCAGCAGCACCAGAGGACCCAGTTCAACCGTCGGCAACTGGCCCGCCGGAACTCCTTCGACCGGGATGTGCCCATTGCCGAGGAGGCGCAGCACCTTCCGGCCTTCGTGCACCTACTGCCCGTGGTCTTGCCCCAACAGGCCCCGGAACCGACCTTGGACGAGCTGCTGGTAGGCCAAATCGACTCAAAGTATTATCCGAAACATATCTGAACCAAATCCCGAAATGCTCGGCCTAGTTTGAGTAGTCATTTGGTCACATTTCGATTTTAACAGGAGCTACATATCACCAATGAGCTCTCTATAGTTCCCTTCTTAATTCACTATCAATAAAAATACAGTAACTCTAAGTAATGACATTTAGGATCAAAATTTACTGCTTGAATTGGTTACACTTATGACTAAAATTATAATCTTCATACAATAGTTCCCAGCTCAAATCGAATTCGATAATAATCAGATAACTGCTATTACCTGGGAAAATAAAAATATATTAATATGGCACTATTTGGACATCAATGCCAATTCCGTTAGTAAGCCTAGTAAAAAACCTTTAAAAAGACGTCGGTTAGTTGAATGCTAATATGCGTTAGCTTGACAAGTGTGGCAATTGGAAATATATCAATTATTTAGAATATATTAAGTTCATAATATAATTGCAACTAGCTGAAGTTATATTTTAAACCCTCTCTTATTGATATTTGGTGTAGGTGGATAATGCATTCGTATCCAACTTAATTAATCCTGTGACATCCTTTCAGCGGCGAGTGACCCAGCGAACTGACCTCGAGGCGGTGGAGTCGGTGCGCCTGCGCGTGATCTCCTACACGATCAGCCTGTCCCGCCTGTCGCTCTTCCTGCCGCGTCTCCAAAGCCTCGACCTGAGTGGCAGTGTGCTCAGCTCGCTGCGGGACCTGGGCTACGGACTGCTCCAGCTGACCCGGCTGGACATCAGCAATTGCGGCCTGAACAGCTTCGATGGCACCAGCGGGCTGCCGGCCATCCGGGTGCTGATCGCCGACGGAAACATGATCCAACGGGTGGACCCACTGGCCGAACTGGGCCACCTACGGGTTCTGAAGGCCAGGAACAACCGGATCAGTGAACTGGGCCTGCTCTCCTTTCTGGGCATGTGCCCGCAGCTTCAGGAGGTCGAGTTGCAGGGGAATCCCGTGTGCCGGCTGCCTCTCTACCGCTCGCTTCTTGCGCGCAGTGTGCCCACATTGCAGCTGCTGGACGGCCGGGTTTTGAACGCTCCAGCAGCTCCGGCGGAGATGCCCGAGGACGGCCCGTCCCCGGGCTCCAGCGACATGGAGTCCGGTTCAGAGGGGGTACCCCAACGTCCGGCCACCGCTCCCGCTCCCGCTCACGCTCCAGAGCCCGTTCAGATCACCCTAAGTCCCGGCATTCGGCGGCAAATGTCGGTCAGTTCCGCCTCCACTCCGGTGGCCGGATCCGTTTTGGGCCTGGTGCGCCAGCGCCGGAGGCGCAGTGGCCACGCCTGGGTGAGCTCCTCCTCCTCCTCCAGCGGATCGTCGTCCGCCTCGTCGGCCAGGTCCACTCGGGCGCCTTCGATGAGCTCCGGCTCCTCCAACAGCAGTCTCGACGTCCAGTCATCCACTTATGCCTTCAGCGCACAGTCAACGCTGGAATAGTCCACATCGCTGAATCATGCTTGATCTATTCAAATAAGTAAACATTAATACTCGTATTGGAAAACATGTGAATTAGGTGAACTATGTAAGTTGGGATTTTAAATCCTTGCCTTTAGGTTGGTTAAAAACGCAGTAAACTCTTATTTGTTACAAGCTTAACAGAATGTTAAATATAACATGTATACACATTTGTTTTATTATACTAACTATTAATCACTTAAGCTTCTCCAAAATTTGTAAAACTAAATTCAGTTCAATTTCTTCTAAACTTTAGTGACCTATTCGAACTAATTATTTTGAGAAAAAAGTAAATTATGATTCATAGAATCTTAAAAATCTTAAATTTGATCGGCTTAAAAATAAAGTTTAACTTACAAACTTGGTTGATGTGGTAGCACTGGCAATCAGCCCATTGCGGTATTTTGTTAAATTTGTAGTATATTGTTGAGGAATAAATTAGGAACTTTTCGGGAGGAGCTTTTTACAACACTAAGGTCGTTTTTGTTGACCACACTCTTTTTGGAATTGTTCGCTTCACATTGTTCGTTTTCCTTCTCGGAAGTGTTGCGCAGTTAATTTTCCGTTTCTTTTAATCGCAGGAATCTATGATCGGATTGGTAATTATAATCAATACATTATTTTACATATGTATGTATGTGTGTCCGGACATGTCTTTATGCGGACCTCTATACATAAATATGTACATATTTGTCTAAAATCGCACTTTCTGCATTGTAAGCATTATCTCGATCACAAATAATAAAAGTCCCCAACTTCAGTATAAACAGAAAGGGAAATCTCTTGATATGGAGACAATATCTTGATCACAAAAAATAAGAAACTTTAAAGAATAAGAGCAATTCAACCGTGTGCGTCGTTATATTTTCACTTTAATATTCATGGCGATTTTCCAGTAATTACCACTAGAGTTTTAACTTAAAACATTAAAAACGAACTTCATATACCCTTACAGTTACATACATATGCATACAGACATTTGCATTTAAAAAAGTATATTTAGAGTAAGTAATGATGCAGTCTTGTTTTGAATGGAATTATTAAACAAAAACCAAAATTACATATTTATGCAACATTAACTAGCTTTTTAAAATAAGTGGTCGTATGTAGACTTCAGTTCGCCATTAAATGTATACATAACAAGAAAGGAAGCAAACTTCGGCAAGCCGAAGTTTATTTACCCTTGCAGTTGTTACAAATCGACTATATTTCGATTTCAATATTTCTATATTACTAAAAACAATGAAGCTATGGCAGCTATATGGTATTGTTGTCCGATTTTAATTTAATTAAAACTGCTATTCCATAATATTTATTTATTACCAAATACCAAAGAACAAAATAATATAGTCGCCCGATCCGACTGGTTCCGACTTCTATACTACCTGAAAAAGAAAGACAACTTTTGGGAAAGTTTCAAGCAGATAGCTTTAAAACTGAGGGTCTAGTTTGCGTAGAAACGGACGGACGGACATGGCTAGATCGACTCTCCCGGTGATGCTAATCAGGAATATATATACTTTATAGGGTCGGAAATGTCTCCTTCACTGCGTTGCAAACTTTTGACTGAAATTATAATACCCTCTGCAAGGGTATAAAAACCAAAAATGTTATTGTTTTATCATATTAATTGACCAACATTTTAAATTAGAAATGCTGAGAGATTACTTCCGTACAAACGGGCGCACTGTTAATGCTAATCAAGAAAAACAATTCAAAATTTTCACTGAAAATATAATACTCTACAATAAAAGCAAATCGACTAATGTATGTGTATATATCAGTATATATTTTTCTTCATTCTTGGTAAAAACTCTTGCAGCGTAAAACCTATTAACAAAAAAAAAATCTAAGGCAAAATTGAACATTTTCGAATTATAAATTATAACAAACATTTTTAATTTTCTAGTGATTATTAAAGATAGCACTGTATAATTAAATTAAAAGAGTTAGCTGGCTGACTTTTAGTTTCACAAAATATTAAATAAGTAAAAAACTGACTTACAAACCCTTCAGTTTGGTTTGGGATAACGACATATCTCCGCCGTCATATCTCCGCCCAGTGTATTTTGTCGGCGGAGATATGTCGTGATTTATTTGGGGGAATTCTGTCGCTTAAAAGCGACAGAGCTCCCCCATTGACTAACGCGGAGTTATGTCGTCTAAAAACGACATATCTCCGCGGGAAGATATGACGTTTAAAAACGACATATCTCCGCTCGAAAATATTTCGTTTTAAACGACATATCTCCGCGCGGAAATATGTCGTTTGTAGAAGGGCGGAGTTATGTCGCTTTAAATCGACATATCTCCCCGCGAAGTTTTCATAGCTACAAAGTTGATTTTTTTTATATATTCATATATACTCATTTTCAAATGTACATATTCATATTTGTGTATGTAAAATCAGGGCAAATTATAGAGCTCTAAATTTTTTTTCCCACATACACAAACGTACATACATACATATATTGTCACATTCCCTTTTGAATTTGATGTCCTATAGTGTGTGTGAAACAGTGGAAAAAAGGCAAATTAAAAATCATTATTTGATTAAACACAAGTTCAAACACAAATACTTTGAATATTCTGAAAAAAAACATAAATATATTATAATAGTTTTAAAAGTTACTATTAATTATAAAAATTAATATAAATATATTTCCCATTTTTGGAAATCTTAAGGTTTTGTACCACTTTACTATGAGAAGTGAGAAGTTATGTGGCACGCGCCAAATTGCATTTTACCGTTCTTTATTATCTGTTCTTTTATTAAGTGCTGCGTACGTACAAGAAGAAGTCATTTAACTTCGTAAGTTCACAGCGAGCAGTTGACCTAATAATGGACTTGGAAAACATTAAATTTGAAATTCGGGAAGGAAGCCGTAAGGGCTCACAACTTTTGGTTTCGATGTGTGATGAGCAGTTATTTGTGAAAAATAAAATATTGAAGCTCGGTGATATAGCATACGTCTGCCGCGTTGAAGGCTGCAAAGCCAGACTATATTTAAGTTCAGATAAAACACGTGCTTTTTCGAATGTTAATAATATGGTGCATAATCATCCGTCCCAATGTCGCGAAATAGCAAAACTCGGTGCGGTGTCAGAAATTAAACAAAAATGCCAAGACAATACAAATTTGGACATAAAACAAGTTTTTAATGATGTTCTTGCAGAGTGAGTAAACAAAAATAATAATTTTTTCAAGTCAAATTTTCCTCATTTGTTAACTAGTTCTGAATGAAAAAAAAATTAATGTTAAATGTTTCTGAAAGTAAAAATCTTTTGTAAAAATAACAAATTTAAAAAGCTAATATTAAATAAATATTTATTTTTTAATATTACGATTTTTTTTGTGATTTTAAAACTTTTTAAATTTGTTTTTATTACAGTTTGTATTTAGAGATTACGTTGTAGATTACATATTTGTGTATTTTCTATGTAGATAAAGTTGGTTTCACAATATATATAAAATATATATGTAATGTATTACATACTTTTACATTTTTGTAATTTTAGTAAAATTCGATATTAAAATTTAATTATTACTTTTCTTAAATTTTCTGTTTGATAAAGAAAAACCAAAGGTGATGAGGAAATTGAGGTCAACTACGACACTGTCAAACGAACTCTACAAAGAATAAGGCAGCCATTCTTGCCAAAGTCTCCAACAACCCCAGAGGGTGTTCGTTTAATGTTTGAAGATGAAAACGTCATGAACCTATTTGGTATGACCAAAGGAAATTCTCCAAAATGTTTTTTCAAAAAAGTACACGTATCAAGCTCATTTGCGTACTGTATTTTTTCTTCGGACAAGATAATTGGCTTAATTGAAAATAATATTGAAGAGAAAAATCGTAATTACCTCATTGATGCCACTTTTAAAGTATGTCCTTTTGGAGATTTTAAGCAACTTTTAATAATTTACATTAAACATATGCAGAAGGTAAATTATTTCTTTTAATTGATATAAATGATTATTTTATTTTTTTTATTGCTTTAGATAACGCCGTTTATATTCGTATTGATGACGCGAAAAACTGAGTTGTGCTATCAGCACTTGTTTTTGTATATTGATTCCAACATTTGTTGCTTAAAAGGTGCATCCTTTATTTCGGACTACGAAAAAGCAATGCGTAACGCTCTAAAAAAATTGCATCCTTCAATGAATTTCTTTGCTTGTTGGTTCCATTTTACACAAGCATGCAAAAAAACGCCCGGATTTGAAAAAATGTTAAATTGCAATAAACATGCATATGTACTCTTTCTCAAGTTTTTGTATTTACCGCTTCTACCAGCTACAAAAATAGTCGAAGCATTTAATATGTTGAAATGCCAAGCAAAATCTTTAGAAAAGATTATGTTTTCTCCATTTTTAAAATATTTTGAAAAACAGTGGCTTAAAAAGGTTGGTTCTATGTTATAAGTTATAACTTATAAATTTGTATTGGTATTAGTTTTTTGGTATATAATAATACCTTATTTTATTTCTTAGGAAGGACCCGAGAACATATCGGTTTTTAAGCGTTCAACTCGAACCACCGGGTCTGTTGAAGCGTATAATTTGAATTTAGGCAATAAGATTCGAGCAAAAGGGCATTTTTTCAAATTTGTACAATGTTTAATTGATGCAGAATTTGAGAAAAGCCGGGAATTCGCCCTCCTGTTCCAAAACGGCGGTGTTGGAAATCAACCAATAACGAAACAGCTACGTGTAAGTATATGTTATCTTATTAAGAGATAACTATACATAAGAACAAATATTTTTTTCAGAATCGTGCTCAAAAAATCATGGACGCAATGGAGTTGTTTGATATTGGAGAAATAGATATTCAGGGATTTTTAACTCGCACGGTTTCGCTAAGCGATCCTATTGAGAAGAAGGATATCTTTAACAGTGTGGATGACATGGAAACTAATTCGTCTGAGCTTAATTCTTCAACATCATCAATTTCCTCAGACGGTTCCAATTTAAGTCAGTT